CATAATAGGAACATCACAGGCCAATGCCTGATAAAACGTGACAGGCATGTCAAGACACATTTAATACTACCAGCAGGCCCTAGTTGTCTTCAGCAGATCTGGGACGTCAGTGCCTCTAGCTTGCTGCTGACAAGAATGCTTCCTTCAAGAACCTTCAATTGCCGGCAAGCTTACTTTGCTTTAGCTTGATTGAGCTGCTGTCAGCCGTTGCGTTGGCCAGGAGCGTTATGCCTGGTGTCCCTCGTTGCCACCACCACCGCCTCCGTCAGAACTTGGCCGACGACGCTTGCGCCCCTGGGTCCGCAGATGGGGACACCTGACATGGCTCAAGTGGCGACGGAGCTCACCAAAGCGATTTCTAGATAAAGCAGAAACACCAGGTCGAAAGAAGCAATGAAGATGGAGAACTTGTGAACTTTTGTCTGGAGTCTTTGAACGGAGAACTGCGAGTAGAGAACAATTAAGAGAGAACGAGTAGAAATAAGAAAACAAACGTGATGACCCTGAACTTCTGAACTTCTGGCGCCCGCCCTGTGAGGCCTGAAGCCTCGGCTACCACTGACGCTCTCCAACCATCGCTACAAGGATGAGTGCCTTGGTCGAAGCGCACAGCAGAGCACCAGTTAGCACCCGTACCGCTCGGCACTTAGGCATCCGTCACACGCTGCAAGGAGTAGAAAAGGTTGGTGAGTTGAGGTCACCTAAGGGTCGTATGTAGAAACATTTGGGTTGGAAGCTTTGGAGAAAGTGAGGGGGCAGTGAAGTCCACAGCAAAAGGCACTAGGGGTAGCAACATGCCTGGAACTGCCCAACGAGGAGTTGCATAAACCTTGTTTTGGACACAGAGAGCATTCGAATGCAACTTGAACTGGTCCTGAAATGCGGGTTTGATATGGCGATCCGAATGCGTGCGGCGCTCACCGCTTGCACCAACCCGAGGCATCCAAACATCTTCCCACCGGAGCCTTTCAGTCCCAGCGAGGTGTGGTGGAACACGGGCAACACACGGCTGTGCTCCAAGCAGCTGAGGGGTGTTCTCAAATCTAAAGGTCAGATTGACGTTATTTTGGTTCTATTTGGCTCTGTAATGTTCTGTAGAATCTCAGTTTGAGTGATTGTCTTCTTCCAGTTGTATCCAGAGTGGGCCGTCAAAACGAAACCTGCGCTTTTGACGAACAGGCCACATCTAGCTTGCATCCCACTGTTTTAATCTGACAGCTTTGGAGGATCACTACGCGTCCTGGGAGAAAAAAGTTCTTACCTACGATCTTTACAAGAGCATCTTGGCGCTGATCAGAGGACATCTCGGACAGGTCTAGTATGGTTTGGTAGTTGATATAGGATTAAACAGTAGGTTGGAGGCCATTGCTTCTGGAGGTCATCGCTCTTAGGTTGGAGGCCATCGCTCTTAGGTTGGAGGGCCTTCGCTCTTAGGTTGGAGGCCATCGCTAGTAGGTTGGAGGGCCTTTGCTAGTAGGTTGGAGGCCATTGTCACCTCCGGTCCTCTCAACAAGCATCACCTCATGACACCTCACCAGACAGCCACACTGTCACATCCAGGCTGTGTGGAGTCGCTCGCGAAGATGCCTCCGCAGGTGCCATGGGGATGGAGGGGTGTAGCATGTAGCCGCATAGCCTGATAGACAGCAAAGAGGTATCCATCCAGTTTGCACAAGCTCAAGCCAAGGCAAGAGTAGGGCATCAAAGATATATTTGTTTTTCTTTAGTTGAGTTTCTGCCTAAAAGTCTAGGAACCAACTACTTACTGAAATAGGAGCAGGCTAAAAGAACAGATAAGCCGTCCAAGAAAGGCTCGAAGCATTTGAGTTTCCAGGTTCCGTGCATGAAAGCATGTGGTCACCACCCCAATCCAGGAGTTTGCAAAGGATGAATACAAGCACCGGTTGAAGTTCGGAAGCGTCTCGGCTGCCAGTAGCGATGCACTTGTTACTACTAGTAAGGCACTTGTTTCTAATTTAGTTTAATTCTAATAGCTTTTTGTTACTACTAGTAAGGCACTTGTTACTACTAGTAAGGCACTTGTTACTACTAGCTTCCTTTTGATGCAATGCTGGATATTGGGGGATATTTTGTATTCCCTTCTCAACGTGGGGTCTTTCTTGTTGGTTTCGTTTGTTCCTTCGGCAAATATGAGGGTAAATCGATTGCGCGGCAGCTTGTTTGGTTCCAACCACCACAAAACATGCTCCGAGGGTGTTGGATGGTTTGAGCGAACATGTGTGGCCATGAATTTTCCTGGTGGTGTTTGTATGCTTTCTTTCGGGTCTGCAGTCCTTTGCACTCCCTCGTTCAGTACAGGATGCTGCCTTTTCGGGGGTCAATCGGCCAACTTTGGTGACAATTTCTTTCCAATCCTTGTGCCAGTTCAACGCTGGACAGGCTCATTTGACCGCGCGCCAGATCCTTTTAGTCCTTGACCCTGATACGGCTCTTCAGCACTCCACACAATCGTATTTCCGAGGCTTCATGGAGAAAGCCTTGGGCAAGAGCCGAGCCTGGAAGAATTGGCGCTCCCGAGAGGACAAGCGCTTCAAAGAGGAGGCGACATGCTGGGTGCCGCGCATCGCGCCGCGCATCGCCGCGCCCATGACGTCAGGGATTGAACTGAGAATGTTCTTGGTCCAGTACGGGTGCATCTAGTAGCGTCCTTGCTCTTAGTAGCGATGCCAGGAGCCCCTAGTAGCGTCGTTGCTCCTAGTAGC